GTGTGTGTGTGTATTCGTTTGTTGTCTACTCTTTTCTCACTCTTTCTTTGCCCAATTTCCCCTAATCCTCGTCTCCTCACCTCCTCAACGTACACTCCTAATGGGTCTACGTAACGAAAGACGTAGAAAAAAAAGACATCAATTTTCGGTGAAAAATATAAGTTTATAACAACAAAAAAAGTTAAAACGTAGCAGAGCACAAAATCTTATTAAAATCATCGTTTTTTCTGTGTATTTTTGTGAATTTTTCAGTCATAGAGGTACGTAAAAATGAGACTTTTGGGGTTAATAAATACACTTTCAACCTAGTAAAAACGGAAAACCGCCTCACTTCAATACACTTCACTCTGTCTCAACTTCCTGTCTCCACTTCCTGTCTCACTTCCTGACCACGGGAACCACAGGTTTTTTTACACAAAAATACAAATTACACAAAGGAATTACACAATAGGTACTGTGTAATCAAAAGCACGACATTTCCAAGTAAAACCGTGGAGTTGTTTTTAACCTAAGATTTTACGATGATTATATAAACATACAAGCATCACTTAAACTCGATTGGCCGACTACACGGGTGGAAAATTTTTGGGTTAAAAGTGGTGGTGGAACCTCCTAGTACTGGTGGTTCACCGAGAGCCATCTTTGTATAAGTGTATATTGGGGTTGGGAGCCAGGACAACCTAGGTAATCTGCTCCGAGAACAAAGACTCTGACAAAACACGCTGGAAATGGTTTGAGTGTCCAGAGGTTCGTTGACCCTTCCCTGTTGGACGGCACTTTCGATGACAGTGCGAGTAACCTTGTCTCCTCTCCCCCCCCACCCCCCCCCCAGATCTGCTGCCATGAATGTCCCTAGTGTTCTGCTCCCCCTCGACCTCCCACTCCCAGTCTCCAGTGGTGTGTGTGGTAACCCTCTTTCTTTCCCACTGAAAGACCATTGTTTTCCGTGTTTGTTTTCTATTCCCTCTCACACGAGGTTGCACAGCGTGTTGATACCCCACACTAACCTGGGTTATTACTAGCGAGAAACAGCTTACTACTGGCGAAACAAATGTGGGAATTTCGGGGAAAAAATCTCTCACTTCCAAGGTTTCGACAACTACGTAGACAGGAATAACAACAAACACGGTGACTCCGTCAAACGTGATTCACAGACGACGTGTAATTGACGGGCTATTTGGTGGTTTTATGTGGTATACAACGTGGGTACAATTTTTTTTGTAACGAAGCTCTGTCCGGTTGGGGATTCACGACTGTACGTATAGGTCCAATCCTGAGTAAGGACGTGGTGAGAGAGATTTACAGGTCGTGAATCAACTGTGGTACAAGAGACATACAGATAAAAAAAAATACATACAAGGGGTAGATTAGTGTTGTGAAGGTTCCTGAAAGCTCATGGACACCTTGGTACTTAAATGAGTCATTCATAATATAATAACACGTTTTGATTAACGTTTAATTTCTGAATTTCCAGGGTACAGTACGAAAAGACCAATAATGGGCAGGGGTACATTTTGACAGACGTCTCAGTGTTTGGGAGCTCATGTGGGACATCACTCATTTGAAGATTGTGTCTTTTTCTGCGACAGATACGACGGAGTCTTGCGGAGCAAACCTGTTAAAGAGAAAAAGGTAAAAAATGAAGGACTCATATCACTGGCATAAAGGCCCATATCACTTGCATTGCATTGCATTGCAGGTTACCGGTTAGACGTCTCGACAATTGCAAACCCTGGTTAGTCGTCTGAAGGATGTGTGTGGTGTGAGCCGTCCTGCAACCGCTCCGAGCGACGACGCTCCTCGCCCTGTCACACTCGACCGAGTTACCACACCCCAGATGCTCTGTCCACTCTCTGTCGCCTTGAGTCGGACCCGTGTGTGTGTTTGAGGTCGGTCTGACGCCACACACAACGCAAAGTCCGACCCAAAGCGACACAGAGCGAA